GTTATGCATCGTCTCAGGTGCCTGCTTCAGACTCACTGACCTTGAATCGCTTGACCGAACTTCACTCGCGCAGACGCGTGTCGAACTGGTCGCGGTTTCTCAAGAGCCACTTGAATGCGCCACCTCAACGGATGCAGCATGGACCTCAACACGCCAATCATAAATCGCTTGACCTCGCCTCAGTCATGTTAATGCAACTATCATAATCACTTATTTCTCACTTTGGCCTGGAACAGCAACATAGGGTTCTGTCCACAATAATACCCTCCTTCTGGTGACTTTTGCCTAGAACCTGGGATCCGACCTTACAATTCTAGTGATCCGACCTTACAATTCTAGTGATCCGACTACAAGCACTACTTAGACGCTGCATCCTCATAGGGCAGACCGTAATTTTTCCTTTACTATTGCTACTTAAACCTACACCGTAGTCTAATTATGTCTATTTGTTTTAGCAAAACTGCTTCTTCTCCTTCGGTGGTGTGCGGGATGAAAAGCGAGTGAACAACCTCCATCTGTTCACCGTCTTAAATAAACTGCCTTCCTTGAAGGAGCTTTCTTGGAAGGCGCTGTCTAAACACACACAAGTCCTCTTCTTCCCCATGGACATTCGCACTCGTTTGCAGGGCGAGACTGCCAATCACTTCAGGGATCACCTACGAAAGGCCTTTTTCCTCCTCTTTGGTCTTCAACCCCCACACCTAAACCCACTTGCTGGGGACACAACCCCCAGCAGTGACACCAGTAGCGGAAAGGCTGAGCGATTCTACAGGTACACGAGGATATTCTACATTTCCACGATAAAGAGGAGGCAACAAGGTGAGTTTCTTCAGGCCAGCCACACACACATCACACTTCAGTCAGTGAAGAAGTTCATTTTAGTCCTATTTTTACTGAAAAGTTGGCGCCTATGTTCAGGCACCGGGTACTGCCACTGGGTCTCAAAAACGTCGCACGTCAGAACTGTCTTCTGTTGACCTTTGGTTGCAGTCTGCCTGGACGAAACCGGGTCAGTTAAGATACATCTCAGCTGAGAAAGTTATTTCTACGGTGTTTTACACGAATGCTAATCCACGAACTTTCAAGTTTCGATATATAACGCGTCATAGCTGCCTCGAATGCACCACCACGGATAATTCGGGCTTTTCTAGCAAATGTGAATCCAACTCTCTTATGACCCGCGCCTAGTACTTGTAATTACCATGAGCTGTGAGTTTTCCCGATCATTTTGCCCAAAGCCAGCACTTGGAAGGAGGAGAAGGCAATCGACTTCGCGGGACGCTGCATTAGCAATTAGCAATTCATTCTTGCAAAAAGGCTGTGTTTACTTATTGATTCGCTTGATGGAAAAGTGTCGGTGACATGAACCAATCAGATCAATAGCCACAGTGCGCGCT